TATCAAAAGAATCATGCCTTATAGGAGTGTACGGAAAACTCATACAAAAGGAAAAAGAATCACAGAAAAGGAAAGAAAATGCAAAAACAATATGCAATACAAACAATGGTTGGTAGGTGGCAGCATAATTAAAGATTAATTAACCAGAAAACAACATAGGATGTATACCTGTGTATACACACACATATCTATATATATATATATATATATACGCAATAGCTTTTCCATATACTGTTGGAGGTACATTAAGGCTTGGTTCACACCTATGTATTTTGCTTCTGATCTGTTTTTTTTTCATTGCTTTTTAAGTAGCATTTTACTGTATGTTTTTGCTTGTTTTTTTAATGTTTTGCTTTTTTTTTGCCAATTTTGTGTTGGGTAAAAAATGCAAAAGGCATCAAAAACACTTCAAAAACGCATCAAAAATGCATCAAAAACACACTACATGCTTTTCTGCAGCTTCTCCGTTGACTTTTATTGAACCACAAATGCACCGCTTTGTGTTTAAAAAAGTCCCTGACCCGTTCCAAAAGCAGCAGCTGAAAGAAGCATAGATGTGAATGTGTCCCATATGAAATCATGTGAACCCGGCACTACTCTCCACCCAGACTGACAACGCTGCTGTCCAATGGTGTCATACATAAGGAAGAAGAATCACAGAACGGGAAAGAAAATGCAGAAAATAGCATGCAATACAGCATAGGATATACAGGTGAAACTCGAAAAATTAGAATATGGTGCAAAAGTTCATTTATTTCAGTAATGCAACTTAAAAGGTGAAACTAATATATGAGATAGACTCATTACATGCAAAGCAAGATAGTTCAAGCCCTGATTTGTCATAATTGTGATGATTGTGGCTTACAGCTCATGAAAACCCCAAATCCACAATCTCAGAAAATTAGATTATTACATGCAATCAATAAAACAAGGATTGTACATAGAACAATATCGGACCTCTGAAAAGTATAAGCATGCATATGTACTCAGTACTTGGTTTGGGCCCCTTTTGCAGCAATTACTGCCTCAATGCGGCGTGGCATGGAAGCTATCAGCCTGTGGCACTGCTGAGGTGTTATGGAAGACCAGGATGCTTCAATAGCGGTCTTCAGCTCTTCTGCATTGTTCGGTCTCATGTCTCTCATCTTTTTCTTGGCAATGCCCCATAGATTCTCTATGGGGTTCAGGTCAGGCGAGTTTCCTGGCCAATCAAGCACAGTAATCCCACGGTCATTGAACCAGGTTTTGGTGCTTTTGGCAGTGTGGGCAGGTGCCAAATCGTGCTGTAAAATGAAGTCAGCATCCCCATAAAGCTCGTCTGTGGAAGGAAGCATGAAGTGCTCCAAAATCTCCTGGTAGACGGCTGCGGTGACCCTGGACGTAATGAAGCACAGTGGACCAACACCAGCAGATGACATGGCTCCCCAAATCAACACAGACTGTGGAAACTTCACACTGGACTTCCAGCATCTTCCAGTGTGTGCCTCTCCATTCTTCCTCCATACTCTGGGTCCTTGGGCCTCTCCATTCTTCCTCCATACTCTGGGTCCTTGGTTTCCAAATGAGATGCAAAAGTTGCTCTCATCAGAAAAGAGGACTTTGGACCACTGAGCAACAGACCAGGTCTGTTTTTCTTTAGCCCAGGTAAGACACTTCTGACATTGTTTGTTGTTCAGAAGCGGCTTGACAAGAGGAATATGACATTTGAAGCCCATGTCCAGGATCCATCTGTGTGTGGTGGTTCTTGATGCACTGACTCCAGCCTCAGTCCACTCCTTGTGAAAGTCCCCAACACTTTTGAATGGCCTTTTCCTGACAATCCTCTCCAGGCTGCGGTCATCCCTGCTGCTTGTGCACCTTTATCTTCCACACTTTTCCCTTCCACATAACTTTCTATTAATGTGCTTTGATACAGCACTTTGGGAACATCCAACTTCTTTTGCAATTACCTTTTGAGGCTTTCCCTCCTTATGGAGGGTGTCAATGATGGTTTTCTGCACAACTGTCAGGTCAGCAGTCTTTCCCATGATTGTGATTCCTACTGAACCAGACTGAGAGACCATTTAAATGCTCAGGAACCCTTTGCAGGTGTTATGGCTTAATTAGCTGATTAGAGTGGGACACTTTGAGCCGAGAATATTCCACCTTTTCATAATATTCTCATTTTCTGAGATTGTGGATTTGGGGTTTTCATGAGCTGTAAGCCATAATCATCACAATGATGACAAATCACGGCTTGAACTATCTTGCTTTGTATGTAATGAGTCTATCTCATATATTAGTTTCACCTTTTAAGTTGCATTACTGAAATGAATGACGTGGCCGTATGGGTGGAGCCCAAAATTGTCATGCTGTTTTCAAACCTCACTTCTCTTCATACTATCTGTCACAGAGAGGGGGGAGGAGGAGAGGGCGGCGGTGGCTATGGAAACAAACGTTACATGTTCCACCCTAAAAACGGGTGGAACATGTAACATGTTCCAAAGGTGAACTTATCCTCTAATAGGTTGGTGAAATGAATATGGGCAGATCCCAGGTGTTTTTATTTGTAGTTTCTTATCACAATCTTTTAAGTCACACCCACTATTCTGTGTACTTTAGTCACGCCCATGTTTCATGATGATACTCTATGCTTGCCACAGGGCATCGACTCCCTGAGATGCCCCTCGTTGTCAAGCTCTGAATTTGGGAATTTTGCACAAAGACCATTGATTAGAGAGGAAATCATGTAGTGGACATATCTCTTATTTCATTGTTTTCTATTATGAGCAAATAGTAGGTAAATAACAATATTTGAGATGAAACATTTACTTTTTGATACTGAATGGCTATGAAGATGTGTGATCATAGGGGAGGAGCAATAATAATGACTCAGGAGCATAGAAATCTGGACCTGCTCAGGGGGTGGGGCTGTGACCAGACAGAGAAATTAATACAGGAACAGAAAAAAAAATAGTGGTCATATACAGAATATTATTCCAGCTGAAGCAGACATGTATCACCCCTGGGAGTACATCACTAGAACAAAGGAATACCCTTGCCAACTATAAATTCACTATATCTGGTCTCCCACAGTGCACAGAACATGGAAATGCAATTATTTTAATAAATATAAAGTACTAAATAGCTTTTCTCATCAGCAGTAGATAGAAGTCTTGTGACTTCTATCAGTGTCCAGCAGAGCACTGGCTAAAGCTTGTAGGAGGAGTATTCATTCTCCCCTGACTGTCCTATGAGGCTGCATAACTCCTGACCCTCTGTCTGGACAGTGCTGATTGGCCCTGTGCTGATCACCTGCACTCCCCCCCCGCACCAAAAAAAGCACTTTCTATAGCAATCCAAACCAAACTGATCATGTGCAGTTTGTCCTCAAAGCTCTGTTCTATCAGCAAATGGATTGGAGACAGTAGAAGAAGGGGATGATCAGAGAAGTCAGGATCAAACATCCTTTTTATACAATGCGGAGGATTAACCTCTTAGGTTCCACAGTGAGTATAACAAGCATGCTTTACTACATATATAGACTGATTGTACTGTTGTGGGTTTAGTAACACTAAAGTAACAATATTTGAGATGAAACATCTACTTTTTGATATTGAAGAGCACTGAATAGCTATGAAAATGTGTGATCATAGAGGCGGAGCAATAATAATGGCTCAGGAGTATAAAAATCTGGACCTGCTCAGGGGGCAGGGCTGTGACCAGACAGAGAAATTAATACAGGAATGAAAATAAAAAAGTGGTCATATACAGTCTATTATTCCAGCTAAAGCAGACATGTATCAACTGGGAGTACATCACTGGAACAAAGGAATACCCTTGCCAACTATAAATTCACTATATCTGGTCTCCCACAGTGCACAGAACATGGAAATGCAATTATTTTAATACATATAAAGTGCTAAATACCTTTTCTCATCAGCAAAAGCTTGTAGGAGGAGTTTTCATTCTCCCCTGACTGTCCTATGAAGCTGCATAACCCCTGACCCTCTGTCTGGACAGTGCTGATTGGCCCTGTGCTGATCACATGCACTCCCCCCCCCAAAAAAAAAACTATTTCTATAGCAATCCAAATTAAACTGATCATGTGCAGTTTGTCCTCAAAGCTCTGTTCTATCAGCAAATGGATTGGGGACAGTAGAAGAAGGGGATGATCAGAGAAGTCAGGATCAAACATCCTTTTTATACAATGCGGAGGATTAACCCCTTAGGTTCCACAGTGAGTATAACAAGCATGCTTTCCTGCATATACAGACTGATTGTACTGTTGTGGGTTTAGCAACACTTTAATACAGTGATTTCCTATAATCATTAGCTCCATGTAGTGGCCATAATGTGGTATTTTTTTCTCATTGAAGTGGTTCCGAAAAAAATATATATATATTGGTCACTGGATGGAGCTGGATGGAGTTCATCAAGGATATGTGAATATGAGTCACATTTGTCCATTGATTTTTCCTTTTTTTTGTAATTGGACCCCCTAGTTTAGGTGAACAGAGGTGAGTATAATGATTTAGTGTGATCAGATGTAGCTGAGTCCCACTGGAGTGTTTCTAGCACAGATCACTGATCTGAGAATCCTCATTTCCATCTCCCAGTATTTGCATACACAGTGTGTGGGGGGAACACCTCCCCTGTCACTCTCTCTATATATCTCATTGTACAGGAGACGTCTTCTAGTTTGGATCTGACCCTCCAGAAACATCAAGATGCTTTCTCCCAGTTATCTGCTGGCTGTCATCTTCATTTCTATTCAGGGTGAGAGATGAGGCTCCTTCCATCCTCCTCTGCACATACATCTATAACATTGTACAATAATAAATACACACATCAGGATTGATAGGAAGATATCCAGACATTGATCAATAATCAATATGTCTCTTCCCATCCTCAGGATCCTGTGGAGAGATTGTGATGACTCAGACTCCGGATTCTATCTCTGTGTCCCCGGGACAGACAATCACCATCACATGTACATCCAGTACTGATATTTATGGCAACTTAGCCTGGTACCAACAGAAGTCCCAACAACCTCCAAAGCTTCTTATATATTGTACAAGCGCTCGTCCATCTGGGATCCCGGGCAGGTTTAGTGGTTCCGGATATGGAAATGTATATAAACTAACCATCACTGGAGGGACTGAAGATGATGAAGGAAACTATTACTGTCAGCAGTATAGCAGCTTCCCTCTCACACAGTGATACAAAGCCGTACAAAAACCTCCTTCCTCTTTTATAAAGAAAGCTGTCAAAACTCATTGACTGTCTTGCCATTGGGAGCAATATTTTATTTTTCATAAACCTGTTAAAATCTACATTTTTGGATAGAAAATTACCTAAAACCTCCAGAACATGATGCATTTTCTAAAAGCATAATCCCACTAAAATCAAAAAATGGTAGCTGCGATGTTCTACAATGCACATTATTTGTGTAATTGTTTATTATATCTCTGTTTATTAAATAATACACTAAAATTAACTTTAGTGCACACAAACACAATGCAATGCTCATTTTTTGGTACAATAAGGTTGTGTCCAGTAAACTGATACCAAATATGTCAAGATTTAAACTAGGAGGTTATTTACTAAAGGCAAATAGACTGTGCACTTTGCGGGGCAGTTGCTCCAGAAATGTAAATGAGGTAAAGTTTCACTTTGCAAAGAATACCCAATCAAGTGCAAGAAGATAAAAACAGCATTTCTGCTTGCACATCATTGGATGATGGAACTCAGCAGAGATTCTGCTCATTTAGTAAACTCTGGAGCAACTGCACTTGAACAGTGCAACTGCACTTTGCAAAGTGCACAGTCTATTTGACTTTAGTAAATTAACCCCTATGTGTGCTTGTGAAATAGAGAAAAAATGATGGCACCCAAAATAATCAATAGGCAATGCTTTATATGTATTTACAGCTCATCAATTAACAATTATTTAGGGATCTAGATTGATTTCTCTCAGTATGGCGAGCCCGGCAATACCCAGAAAGTAAAACTTGAGGTTGTGGTGAGGTGGACCTAAAGAACCCAAAACGCCCACTACCCGGTAACAATGAGAAATGTATTTCTTGATGAAAGGGGAGGAGGGGGTGTTGCTGAACCTCTAGACTTTGTGTGCTGACTCTTTGTGCAGGAAAGACATGGTCACTATTCAGTATGTGCACCCGTGGTGGGATCTCTCTGAAAAAATAGAGTTTCCAGGAATAGATGGATATTTAAGGCACAAGAAGCAAGAGATTGCTTAAAACGTCCATACTTTCATTCACAATTTTTCACATAGAAACAACATGTTATTGCACAGGTGGCAACCTATCACAGTACCACGCTTGAATTCACAGAGCTCCTGAGAGCGACCCATTCTTTCACAAATGTTTGTAGAAGCAGTCTGCATGCCTAGGTGATGATTTTATACACCTGTGGTCGTGGAGGTGATCGGAACACCTGAATCCAATGATTTGGAGGGCTGGACCAATACTTTTGGCAATATAGTGTGTGTGTATGTATATATATATATATATATATATATATATATATATACAAACGCTATATTGCCAAAAGTATTGGTCCAGCCCTCCAAATCATTAGATTCAGGTGTTCCAATCACTTCCATGACCACAGGTATATACAGTCAAGCCCTTAGGCATGCAGACTGCTTCTACAAACATTTGTGAAAGAATGGGTCGCTCTCAGGAGCTCTGTGAATTCAAGCGTGGTACCGTGATAGGTTGCCACCTGTACAATAAGTCCATCAGTGAAATGTCCTTGCTACTATTCCATGGTCAACTGTTAGTGGTATTATAACAAAGTGGAAGCAACTGGGAGCAATATGAAGTGGTAGGCCGTGTAAAATGACAGAGTAGGTTCAGCCAATGCTGAAGCTCATAGTACGCAGAAGTCACCAACTGTCTGCAGAGTCACTAGGTAAAGACCTCCAAACTTCATGTGG